AGGTAACATTTCTGAACTCTGACTAGAGTTTGGATCTCAGCCACCAGAACTAAAGATAGAGTCTGATTAAAAATGAAGAAACACAAAGCAACTTTTCTAAGATATATAAAAGTTTTTTTTTTCTTTTTAAAAATGGTTCTAACTAGATGTATTGTTCTTTATATCCTGGTTACTACATCCCCACTGCCCAACATCTTGTCTTAGATGCACAATTAATTGATCCCTACAAAGAATATCTTTTTATTGTTCCTTTTCAGCAAATTGCTGATGGGTTGCCATTCTTGTAAGCACTCTTTAGCCAAAGTGGCGACTGTGTGATATTTCTTTCAAATTCCTGGAATGCAGTATTCTGTGGAATAGGAGGCATTACATGCTATAACCCTGGGCTAGTTTTGCTAAATATACTTGATGATGACTTGGAAAAACTCCTCACAAGCTCTGGCCCTTTCCTTCCTAAAGACTTCCTAAACGTCATGCACTATCTTAGGGGAATCAGGCGGGCCATCTGGGCAACATATCTTGATACTCTTAACTCCTCAGTATCCAGTGCTTGAAATTAATAGCTTATTTTGTCTATCGGTGGGGCTCATCCTCATAGTGGTGGAAACAACAGTATGTGGAGTGCATTGACTGGCTTCCAGTCATCTGCATCTGTATATTTGTAAATAAAGCAAAGAGTACAGGAATGCTACAGTTCAGTTTCTACTTTCCACTTGTGTTTGAAAGATACTAGATCCTTCAAACACAAGTGCACACCTTAATGCTCGTGGAAGTGACTGCAAGGATATGCACTCAGAATCTGCAGCTATCCAATAAGCAAACACAGACATTACCAACCAAAGCCTCCTCAGATTTGTAGTTCATTAAGTGAAAATATCTTCAAGCACAGTTGAATCACAGACATCAACCCAGTTTGTGGCAATTCTCCCTTTAAAAACAAGTCTATGATTCTGAACAATCTGTCTTGTGGCATTAATTGAAGCAAAACCACAACAAGAACCAGTTCTGACATGCTATTAATAAAACACTAAGGGGCCCTTATTAGAAGTAAGGGTGTGGTCCAGAAATCGTCTTTGTGTGAGTTTTTTTCAAATGCAACAGTGAATTGCCTTGAAGTGTTTGGAAAAGTTACTCAAGTGACTTCTGGGAGGTGCAATAACCACCACCCCCACAATTTACCAAGTTCTTGTAAAGTGTAGTACTGTACTGTAGTAAAAAAAGAAGGATCCCTAGGTGGTACATGTTGCCAGCTCTTAATGTTTTGTGTGAAGCTTCAAAAGTTCTTTTCATTTTCATTTTACCAAGACCTCTTCATGAATCATGAAACTGTTACAGTGCTGTAACAAAGTTTTAAACCAAAAATTCAGAAAAGGAAGCAGGAACACTATCAGGGACACAAAGGAGATTTTATTCTCTAGGAATTAATATCAATTAATCATCTTTATTGCATTTAGCCAAAGGCCATTACAGTTTAGGAAACAATGTAACAAAAATATCCCATAATAAGATAAAATACAGCCAGCCTTTAAACCCCTTTTGAACTATAAGAAGCTGTCCATGAAGCATATATCAACTATCCTTTAAAATTAATAGTTAAGATCTATTAAAATTGCTGGTAAAACATGCAGCTTCCTAGCAGATGCAGCAAATCATGCCACCGTGTAAGCGATGGAGGGTTGATCATTTTCCATCTACTATATATCCTGTGGAGTTTTATCCGAGTACCTTAAAAGCATGTGTAATAGAAAATTTCCCTTTGGGCCTGTGAATGAAGATCAAGAACAGCACGTAAGGGACACAGTTTCAGCCATTTCATGATCAAAGAGACTTTCCCATCCTGTCACAAGGAGTGCCACTCCCAAGGAAGCAAACATAACAGAAAGAGTGTGCTGTGTTGTTGGTGACAGAACATTAGCGGACATGCAGCTTTATTTTGTTTCATTAAGAGAGGTTGTCGTGCCCCACCCCAAATGGCAAATTATAGCTCATAACTAGACTGTGAAAGGTACTTTTGCTGAACAGCAAGTGGAGCTACTTTGGCCTAAAGAACTCTGCCTTCCACACTTGAGTGCCACCTACTGGGCATGTACCTTCTTGCCACAGACATTTCAGACCTTTGGGACCATGCTTAGTCATATGCCAGATGCAACTCTGGGCTCTATCCCACTGACAATAAGATCCATGTTCTGCTGGGGGAAAAAAAAAAACCGCAACACAAACTTAAGCGTACACACAAGGCACATGCACGTGTGGACTACTCTATAAGGGGAGCGAATTCTTCTGCTCCTCTGCCACAGGTCCGTTTATTTCAAGGTGGATTCCAATGAATCGGTTCCGCCTATGTAAATGCCCCTGCTTTGTGTTTCTTTGGGCTTTTTTGACAGCCCCCAGACAACCAAGACAAGCATTTCTTCCCTCGTCTTTCAGCCCCCCCACCTTCATCCCCTTCTGCACCATCACTCAACCAACCAATTCCAATTGGTGGAATTTACCTCCACCAAATCCTTCCCATTTTCTATTCCCCTCAGTCACTTGCCACCACCCTCATTCCTTGCCCCTCTTCCTGTTTACATACCTTTTATGATTTCATATGATTTTTATATGGGATCCTCCAGGAATCGGAGCCCAAAGGAAAGGTGGGTTCCTCTAGGCAGATGTTTTGGGTTTCCTGTGTTGGGGGGAAGAAAAAGCCATCCTTGTGCTTCCCTTGGTGTAACTCAGTCTCTCTTCTGTGTGAGCATGTGTGTATGTGCATTTGTTCGCGCGCGTATGTACCATTTAAAGTTACTAATTTATTAAATTTATATCCCACCCATCTACGCGCGTATATACCATTTAAAGTTACTAATTTATTTATTAAATTTATACCCCACCCATCTAGACGAAAGTCTATCAGGTTTGCTGAGGGGCAGAAAACCCTTGCTCCATTCTGTTTCATCCTCCTCCCCATCCTTTTCTTTGTCTCCCTGCCCCTCTGTTGGACCCACTTGGAGATGAAGGTGCCGGGTGGCGGTGTTAGCAATGGCAGTGGAAGAGTGAGGACAAACACACTGCCATGAAAGTTTTTGTTTTAGACTGAAGTCCACATGGCTTAAGCATGAATCTCAAAAAAATACCTTTACTCTGCCAGATTATTCTGGCAGTGGGAACAGGCCCTCAATAATAACACAACAAAACGTTATTGCCTTCGAAAGCAGAGAGTCACTGTGTGTGTGTGTGTTCAGTCGTTTAGTCGTGTCCGACTCTTTGTGACCCCATGGACCAGAGCACGCCAGGCCCTCCTATCTTCCACCGCCTCCCGGAGTTGTGTCAAATTCATGTTGGTTGCTAGCCCACAGTATACGAGCAATGTGGGTCTCCTCTCAAAAAACAGTTCTGAGTGGAACTCTTGAGTGGATGCCCACTGGAAGGGGCAGGGCTGATACAACCAAACACCTGTTTGGGCAGTAAATGAAGCAGCATGAACCACCAAACTGGTCATTCATGCCCATCTCTAAGTGGAAGTATGAATGTAAAACAACAAAAACAAAAAACAAAATACTCACACTTCCTAGCCTATTATTCTACCTTTAATAGTCTGTGCTATACAGGACAAAGAAAGACCTTTTTTTACCTACTAACACCTGCAGAATAAGCAGCCTAAAGCCACAGTAGTAGTAGTAGTAGTAGTAGTAAAATAAAATAAAATAAAATAAAATACTTGCTTGGCAACATTTATGAGCCTCTTATTATTAGTATAGTATCTGGGATCTTACGTTGTAAGCCACCCTGTGAAGTCTGGAGACTTTAAAGGCAATTAAAAAGTACCTAAGATAACATGAAATAAAGCCCCAATTATAAAAATCCCAGCACTAGTGATTTCATTATCAATCCACAACTGTTTTAGTCCAGTTGAAGTTCATTTTGTGAAATTCATCTTGCCAAGAACTTTACATCTAAATCTCCTGGCAAACCCCATCTGGCCACAAACATTTGGACTTTTGGTATTTGCTTTGAAGAACTGGGATTTGCCCACGAAAGCTCGCTTAGTGTATGCTTTTTTATTTTTTATTGGTGGCCTATAAAGGTATCGCCTATTGTTGCATTTGTGTTTTAGTTCAAGGAGAACTGATTGTAGACACTTGGCACAGATAGCTGGTTGCAGGTTGAAAGAGGGAAATGCATAACTATGGGGAGAAAGGAAATGTCTGGAATAGTCCATATGGAATTGGAACTTTACACCTTCAGATCTCCTTGCTCAGCATGGAAGATTGGAGACATTGAAAGACAGAGTTTGAGAAGGCCTTGTGTGTGCGTATTCATGCCCCGTCTCCACAGTTAGCCCTGATGGGAGCAGGGTGAACATTCAAACACAAACACATTTCTGACTGAAACGTTCAGTGCAGTTGGAAATGTGTTGGCATCCCGACCCAGCCCGGGAACCGATATTCATGATGGAGCAAACATCTGAGCCAGCAGCTTTAGTTACCTCTGTGAGGAACTGTGTAAATGAGTCAGTTCCTAATTGTCAAACAGTGAACATTTATACCTATTTGAGAACCAGTTATTCCCCAGTCTGAGATCTTGAAAATAATGTGTTAATATTATAATTGTATTTTTCAGATGTTAGCTTTGGATGTAGCACTTTGCCTGTCCCGTTTCATACACGGATGGTTTTACTATGAGTGCGTTATTTCCAGGCTGTCTTGCCCTGGATGATGTACATGCAGAGTCACTCAGTGTGTGCTTTGGAATCAAAACTCTTAGCTTGAGGAGATTCATTGATACAAAATAAAAAAGAGGACTACATTTTACAACATATGAGTCTCAAATATGGCTTGCCACAAGAATATAATGGTGGTTGTTTGGTATAGGGACAGAGAGGCAAGAAAAATCAATTTGGGATAGGATAAAAACAGACAAACAAAATGTTTATAAGGTTTATATATATAATATTTAATATTTCATTTTTTTCCTTTTTAAAAAGAAAACTGTTTAAAGTTTTAAAAAGTTTTCCTTTTGTTTATGGCTTCTTTCAAATACATATTCATTATACAGTATTTTTAATCATTATGATTGCCCTAATGCATGACCCCTGCCGGATGCCCAGAGGAAGGCAAAAAACCTCCAGGATCTCCGGCCAATTTGATCTGGAGGAAAATTCCTTCCTGACCCCAAAACTGGCAATCAGTGCTACCCTGGGCATATCAGCAAAGACCATAATCAAGCAAACTGCAGCTAGCAATCTTGTGGTGAGAAGCTGAAAATTGCTTTAAAATAGTAGGATTTGAAACTCTGCCCTTCTCTGTGTTTTGGCCCACAGTTTCCATAATCCCTTATCAATAGCCATGCTAGGAGTAAAAAAAACCTCAGGAAAATCAGATGATAGTGATTCAGGTTCTTTGGCGGACCAAAGTTTCCTTACTTTTATGTCAAGAGAACAATGATGCTAATATCAGAGTAAGGGCAATTTTTCTAAATTGAGGTTTTTGCTTTTGTTTGCTGGGCGTTGAGAGTTCATCCCAGTCACTCAAAACCAATTGTCAAGAGGGTGCTGCTTTTTACAACTAGAAAAAGCCTTCCTACTAAAATTGACTCAGCCATAAATATGAATGGTGCGGTTGCATGATATATGAGAGAAATGAGGCAAAGGTCTTCTGGAGTTCCTCCGGATCACATGAGTCCAACCTAAAAGAGAAGTTCAGAATAAAAACAATAAAATAAAATGAATTAATTACCCCCTCATTCCTTAAAGGTAACTGAAATAGTGCAGAAATTTCAGCCTAATTTTTAATTTGTATTTCAGATTGTCCTCTTTTTTGAGTCACACATACATAGGGGGGAAGATCATAGATGTACCCAAAAAGATACTGGAACATGTACCTGATTTGTGATTTATCAACAAAAATGTGATTTAGTTTGTGTTTCCATTTTTTCCATTTTGTTTTGGAGTTCCCAGAAGACTCCATTTTGGATCAGCCATTAGTCTCATTTCATGTTTAGGAATATTTCCTGATGCATCCGATATTTTCCTTCAAAAGATAAACCCAAATAAATTAATGATCGGTCAAGACTTTTTGAAAAAGGGCATTTCTTACCTCAGGGAGAAAAGTGATCTCTGGTGCAAATCCTGTTTTATATATGTCATTATTTTTGGGATAGTTTTTCTGCAGTTCCACCTGATGCAAGTAGTCAAACCTAAAAAAATTGGCAAACAAGTTCAGAAATTGAAATCAGAATTTAAAAAGTGACTATATCTCCCAGAATCGTGCATCCACCATGCTAGAGGAATGTGGAGATTTAAGTTTCAAAATGTAACAATTATGTTCTGACTGGCATATGCACTTTCAATATTTTTATTGGAATAAAAACACTAGAAATACAATAAATTAATTACCTGCTCATTCCTCAAAGGAATGCAAGAATTTCACACCAATTTTTACATTCTATTCTGTATTTTATCTATGCTTCATTCAGCATGACCTGGCTGGCAGCTTCCACATTTAAAGAGGTTTCAGGCATCAACACTGTCCACTGGGAAAAAAGGGGCAGTTTGCTGATGGTCCCCTGGATAATTTGGGGGGCAATGAGAGAGGTATTTTTCTTATTTGATAATGAAAATGTGTAACTTACTCAAAGCTGATACATAGATGTTAATCTCTATCTAGTTTTGTAGATTGTACTCAGAAAATATACCAGGGTCCTTTCACTTTTGCTGTTAATTTCCATTTTTTATGTTGCAATATAAGAACTTTTGGTTACTTAAACTAGCATGAATCAAACTGAGTAGAAGGTACACACAGCCACCTCTTGTTTCATGAATCACACAGACATAGGGCAAAAAGTTACAAATGCACAGAAACAGCTGCCAGGACACTTACCTTATTCTTGGTTTGTCAACAACAACCTTATTTAGTTTGTATTTCCATTTTCCCATTTCGCTTTGGAAGTCTTACAAGCCTCTTGTTTGATCAGGCACTGGTTATATTAAGCATCTATGGATATCTCCAGAAGTACTGGATATTTTCCTTATTCAGACCAAAAGATAAATTTATTTATGATCAGTCATGTCCTCTCAAAGACGGCATTTCTTACCTTAAGGTGAAAAGTGTTTTATATTGCAAAATCTTGTTTTAGATATTTCTTTATTGTGAGGCTAGTTCCCAGCACAGTCTCCCTGCTGCAACGATCAATAACTGTAAGAATACATTAATGGAGGAAATTAAATTAATTAATTCATCATGATTAATATTCTCTCCCCCATCATAACTCTCAGAAGAAGAGCAACAAAGCTATTAAATACCTCCAACAACATACTACATTCAAATGGCACAAAGTGATAAAAATGTTTACCTCAGCATCTGGAGAGTGAAGGCAAACAGCTTGGGTGCTAAAAGTAGAGTCATGATTCCTGTCAAGCACAGAAAAATTGTTTTTCCTCCCAGTTTCTTCTATTCTTGGTTGTTTTTGTTTTGCTCTTTTAAAAAACAGCATTCTGTATTTGGGTGTTAATAACTTCAGGGAGAAGATATTCTATAGCTATTTTGCTGGGAAAAATAAATTTATCTTTTGCCATCAGCAATTAGAAGTCCTGATTTAAAAAAAACAACAGAGTTTTTTGACCATCTTTGCAGGTCACTGTGCTGCTTATCTGTGCTTCTTACCTGTTCAGTCTTTACCAAAGTGCAGAGGTGTGCATATCATTGGGCTGGTTCACCAGCACTCGGTTCCTATTTTTTCTTCACATCCCCAAACAATTTGAAATCAATTTTTGCCCACTCCTTCCTGGCATCTTGTAATTTATTCGTCTGCCTTTTCCTCTCTCTCTCTAAGAAATACTCAAGAGGAACTTCTGCTAGTGAAACCAAAAGTCAGCCACTAAAAACGTACTTACAAAAATACAGTTGGTTAAAAGGATGTTGACAGGTTATCCTTCTCCTTCTTTATCTACTCTCTCTATCATTTTCTAAGATGAAGAAATGTCTTCTTAAATTCCATCTCATCCCATCAGCCAAACCTAAAAATGAATTAGCATAGAAGTTCAGAAACTGAGGACTTTAAAAAATGACTGCATCTCCCAGAACCCTGCATCTACCATGCTAGGAGGATGTGGAAATTTGAGTTTCAAAATATAACAATTCTTCATCAGAATGCATGATTCAACTTGATTATTTTTATGGAAATAAGAAGATTAGAACTAAAATGAATGAATTACCTGTTCATTCCTTCAAGGTGATTGAAATGGTGCAAATATTTCAGACCAATTTCTAATTTTTATTCCAGATTCTGTATTCCAGATCCTGCCACTTTTAGTCCATCTCCCAGAACCCTGCATTCACAATGTTAGGGGAGTGTGGATATTCAAGTCCCAAAAAGGAATAATTTTATTCTGAGAGAATACTCACCATTGTTTTCATGGGAATAAAAACACTAGAAATAAAATAAATTAATTACCTGCTTATTCCTTCAATGCGATTGAAAGTGTGGAAAAATTTCAGCCCAATTTTAATTTCATATTCCAGATTCCTTGACCATTTCCTACCTGTCTGACAACCTCCACATTTTAAAGAGACTTCAGACATCATCATAGCCCATGGAGATAGAAAGATATGCTTTGGGTTCCCCTGGATAATTTTGGGGACAAAGAAGTATTTCTTACCTTACAACAAAAAGGAATGACTTACCCAAAGAGGATGGACAAAGATTAATCTCTCCACCAGTTTTGTACATTGCACTCAGAAAAGTTAGTAGAACCCTTTCACTTTCTGAAGTATTTCAGTGTTTGCTGTTAGTTTCAATTTGTACATTGGGATGTTAGCTCTTTTTTTATTTAAAGGGGTATGAACCAAGCCCATCTGAAAGTACACACAGCCACCTCCTGTTTCTTGAATTACACAGGCAATGAAGAAAAGTCACAGATGCACCCAAAGAGGTATTGAAACACTTACCAGATTCTTTGTTTATTTTTTAAAAAACCACCTGATTTAGTTTGTTTTCATTTTTCCATTTGGTTTTGGAGTTCCTGGAAGTCTTCACTTTGGATTGGCTATTGGTAATATTTTGTGTTTAAGGATATTTCCTGATACATCGTATATTTTCCTTCTGCAAACCAAAAGACAAACCCAATTTAATTAATGATCAGTCAAGACTTCTTGGAAAAGGGCATTTCTTACCTCAAGGTGAAAACTGATCTATGGTGCAAAATCCTGTTTTATATACTTCATATTTGGGGGCGGGCTCCCAGCCCAGTTTCTATGCTGCAACCATCATTAACAGTAAGAATTCAGTCATGGAGGAAATGGAATAAATAAATCCATTGTGATTGATTTTTCTTTATATCTCACCTCTTTTCAAATCATGATTCTCAGGAGAAGAGCAAGAAAACAATTAAAAACCAGCAAAAACATAATACATTGAAATGGTGTACCTCATCTTCAGAAGAGTGAAGACATGTAAGAGTGCTAAAACTAGAGTGACAATTCCTTTCAAACATGCTAAATATAACACACACACACACACACACACACACACACTGTATCTGATCAAGTTTCTATGGCACCTGAAGGATTAACAAATATATGATCACATACGTTTCTGTGTGACAGATCCTGCTGCATCCTTTGTCTACCTATGACCTGACCAAGGAACAAGGAAAAAAGAACAAGGAAAAAAATAGTAATTTTTCTATTCCTTATTCATCCAGAGATAATGTTATCTTTTCAAATTAGAAGTAATGTTCCCACCTCCGCCAAATGAGATATCCATTTGTGTAGTGTTAGAAAAACTCAAATAGCTTATGGCTCCTAAACCTAAATAAATATTCATCTGACAACATTTCATTAATGTGGCAACAAGGAGCACTCAATTAGTTGAGAGTCCAACAACAGTTTGATTGACTTTTTCCTCCATGGTAACACAAAGCAAGATTTGTTACTTACTTCTTGAAAAGTTGTTGCTTAATGTGTGTCTTGTGGTAGTTTCCTGCTCTGTTACCAAAGGTGCCTCATTGCCTCCAAATCAACAGGGCACTAAGCCTTGTAATCTTCACTTTCCTTGGACCACAAGTTTGACCTATACATCCAGGATGTGCAATAAAATAGCTTTAGTGACTGCAAGCATCATAATTGTCCACAGAGAGAGAGAAAAAATTGTTGATGATCCTGTGGATAATTTTTGGGTCAGAGAAAGACATATTTTTTATTACCTGATAAGGAAACTGAGTGACTCACCCCAAGATGATGAAAAAAACTTGATCCCTCCACCAGTTTCCTATATTGTGCTCAGAAAAGATGCTAGGACCCTTTCACTTTCAGGTGTTTTTCAGATGTTTTGTTGTCAATTTCCATTTTTAGGTTGGAATCTAAAATCCTTTTGTGATTTAAAGAGGCATGAATCAAGCCCAGCAGAAGGTACTCACAGCCATTTCTTGTTTCTTGAATCAGACACAAAAAAATCACAAATGCACAGAAATAGCTGCCAGGACACTTATCTATATACTGCAGCGATCAATAACTGTAAGAATATAGTCGTGGAGGAAATGAAATGAATTAATTAATCAATCATGATTAGTATTTTTATAACTTGCTTTAAAAAAAAATCATAACTCTCAGGAGAAGAGCAACAACGCTATTATATACCAGCAATGACATATTACATTCAAATGGCACAAAGTGATAAAAATGTTTACCTATGCTTCTTACCTGTTGAGTCTTAACCAAAGTGCAGAGGTGTGCATATTATTGGGTTGGTCACTCTTTAACTTCCAGCAGTTTGTTGTCATCTTCCTCAACATCCCAAAATATTTTGAGAACACTTTTCGGACTTCTTCCTAGCATTTTTACTTTTATTGGTCTGTCATCTCTCTTTCTGTTTGAAGAAATACTGAAAGGAACTTCTACTAGTGAAAGCAAAAGTCAGCCACTAAAAAACATACTTGCAAAACTACAGTTGGTTAAAAGGATGTTGACAGATCACCCTTCTTCTTCTTCTTTATCCAGTCTCTTCCTGGTTCTCTGGTTAGATCCCTATAAGACCTGAAGGATTAACAAATGCTTTATACCATAGGCTTCTGTGTGGCAGATCCTATTGCATCCTTTACATGAAAGGTCACTTAACCAATTTATGTACAAATGACCTGAAAAAAAAAAAGAACAAGGAAAAGTACTGTAATGGTAAGATTTGGGTTTTGCTGTTTTGTTAGGCTGTAAGTGTGTTCTGCTCCTTATTTATCCAGAGAAAATGTTATATTTTCAAATTACAAGTAATGAAATAACCCCCACCCACCCAGATATCCACCTGGGTAGCTCCAGATAAACTCAAATAACCTATGGCTCCTAAACCTAAACAAACAACCATCTGACAATATCTCATTAATGTGGCAACAAGGAACACTCAATTAGTTGAGAGTGCAACAACAGTCTGATTGACTCTTTCCTCCTTGGAAACACAAGGCAAGATATGTTGCTTACCTCCTGGAAATTGTGTCATTTAGTGTGTGTCTCATGGCAGTTCCCTGCTATGTTACCAAAATCTTCTCATCTCCTCCAAATCAACAGGGAACACTCAATTAGTTGAGAGTCCAACAACAGTTTGATTGACTTTTTCCTCCTTGGAAACACAAGGCAAGATATGTTACTTACCTCCTGGAAATTGTGTCATTTAGTGTGTGTCTCATGGCAGTTCCCTGCTATGTTACCAAAATCTTCTCATCTCCTCCAAATCAACAGGGGACTAGCCCTTGTCTTCTTCACTCTCCTTGGACCATGAGTGGGACTTACCTATACATCCCAAGAAAATGGGTCAGTGAGTTTTGCTGCCCTGCCCCCATCTGGAACAATACGCGCATCATAACAGAAAACCTCAGCACGCATCAGAATCACAGTATTGTGATGACAAAGGGGAGGGGGCATCTCCATGTGTGCCCAAGGGGAAAAATGGTCCTCTATCTCAACTATCTTTACTGGCTAGGGATTACAAATAAAAATGAACATAAAAACTAAGAATAAAAAAACGCAAAAACATTGTGGCACCTTAAAGACAAGCTTACATTAAAACATAACATTCTTTGTCTTTTCTATTTTTAGTTTTTATTTTCTTTTGTTCTTGCCTGATATACATGCACAGACTATTAAGGCTATATCTTCTATCAATACAGAGTGAATCTAGAGATATCCTTCTTGCCATAGTTATCCACACAAGAATTATATCCAGGCTAAAATGCTTTTATGTACTCTGTGTGGGGCCACTCCTGAAGATGGTCTGAAAAATTCTATTGGTGTGGATGTTGCTGCTTCTGGGAGGTGGGCAGTCAGAATATGTGACATTGAGTTACCAGAGCATTTCTTGACCCTGTTGAAAGTGCTAGCTTTGTCCTACAGAGTCTTAAACACTTTGAATACAAGTTCTTGGGAAGGGCCATCTCCACTTATAGGAAGCTGTAAGTTGTATATCATGGGTTCTATCGGTAGGTCTGCTTATCAGATCCATTCCACTGGTGGGCACAGGAGACAGGGCACTTTGATTGGTTTCCCACAGATTCTGGAACTCTTTGCTCGAAAAGTATTCATATTTATCATCATTACAGAGCAAAGCAGGTGAGACTCAGAAAAAAGAGAAGGATGGAAAAGACATATTTTTGCAGCTATCTTTAATGAGTTAAAAAGTGCATATTTTTATCTTGCTTTTTTTCTGAGTCTCACCTGCTTTGCTCTGTAATGATGATAAAGCAGGTGAGACTCAGAAAAAAAGCAAGATAAAAATATGCACTTTTCAACTCTTTAAAGATAGCTACAAAAATAAGTCTTTTTCATCCTTCTCTTTTTTCTGAGCCTCACCTGCTTTGCTCTGTAGTGATGATGCTGATGTCGATGACCTCCACGATGACATATCCATTGCCGTTCTGCAAATGTTGCCTGGGCCGTGTGCAACGATTTAAATGAAAACAATAACACGCAAAAATGTGAAACTATATCAGTACATAATTACAATATCATGATAGCAAGTTACAAGACCAAATCAAATCAATGTGTTTCCTTCCTGAAAAGCTAAAGTGCTGACGAGGACTTTCACAACATCAGTTTTGATTTTGAGGGAGCCCACTAGCTGCTGTTTCAAAAGGGCCCAGTTCAGCACACATTTCAGATTTTGGCCAAACCTGATATACATTCCTGATTTTTAAAAATTAATTTATTATTGTGCACATTTTGAATTGATTGTTACACAGCTGTCTGACTAATGATGTTTAAACTGTATTACCTATGTGCAATGCTGTATTCTGCTGTATTTGTTTTACAGATAACAAGCAATTTGCTCTGAGCTGATTTGCAGCCTGTCTGATTCCGTTTGTACCCAGATATTTGTACATGTCTGTATTTGTCCAAATAGTGAAAAACCCGTGAAAATGGAGAAAACAAAGGGCTCTGGTCTGGAATGGGAATAAAATTCAATGCTATCATCTATGGCTTGAATTCTAATGTGCAGGCAAAGCACCCACCAGATTCTTCCTTCACACTCACTGTGTAATTTAGATATCTTAGGTCTTATTCATAATGTTACTGTGACCTATCCTATGCAAATCCCACATGATGGCACAAATTTCACATATCCAGGCATCTAATCAATCAGACTAAGACATACAGCTGCCTAAAAGCAAAGAAGAAGAAAAATCTCCAATGCATACTTGTCCTTCCTTCTAAAAATTGAAGCAACTTAAGCAACAATTATCTCTATTCTCTAAAAGCAAAAGCTTGCTGCTTATATACCACCCCATAGTGCTTCAAGCACTCTCTGGGCAGTTTATAAGTTAATTGTGCAGGCTACACATTGCCCCCCCCCCCGCCAGCTGGGTACTCATTTTACTGACCTCGGTAACATCCTCCTTTGCTGGATTTTCCAGTAGAGCTTGGGCTTTTCATTCGCAGCAATCAGTCTCCTTCTGCTTTGGACTTCCTAGTTTTTCTGTTATAGTATTATTTTCATTTCCCCATAAACTTTTTTTTAAAAAATCCATTTAAAAAACCCGGGAACACCAATGCATTATTTCAGCACTGTTTTGGGATTTTAATCGGTGCACAAATGGAGAAATATCCCACTTTGCTTTGTTTCTGAAAAATTCATTCAGAGCACTTGCCTGTTATATGCATAAGTATGTGCCATCAAATAAATTTGAACTTATGCTAACCCTTGCCTGGGTTTCCTAGGTATAAAATACGCAGAAGTGGCTACCCTGGGACCAGGGTATCTTGATCATAGCTACAGAGTGGTTCTTCCTCTGGGATGCATAGTGGGGAATCAAGAATGTTCCAACTCTTGATTAAATTGGATGCTGCTATTATATAACTATTTGATGGACATGGATTTTAAAACTATATTGTTTATTGGTTTTAGACCTCCACATATCCTTTCATTTGTCTTAGTTTTAACTTTGATCTGTAAAATCTCAGCAGTATTAATTTGTTTCTGCCTTAATCTGTATTTGAACATGCACTGTAACTGTTTTTCTATGGTTCCAAATGAAAATGTCAGGTTATCTCAACTAATACCTAAATCCATCCCCCACCCCAAGTCTTATAAAATTTCATAGGCCTCAAGGGGGGAAAAATCAGAAGCCTGTGTTTGTCAGTTTCATTTCTCCCAATAAAAGGTTAACTTCAGAATGAAATCAGTCACAATCATATCAAAATTCATTTGAATATCAAAGTATACAGTAAATCTTTATGCTGTTGCAATAATTTCAGACAACTTCAACTTGTCTAATTCTACATGTGTTATTTATCTACATTTCTCTATTCCATATGCACAAAATATTTCAGAGTTGTTGGAAAATCCAAAAAGCTGATAGTTATGAAGCAAATTGCATCCACAAATACTTAAAAATATATGGAAATTGAACTTAACTTCTAGGCAAATACTTAATTCAATCTAAAATTCAGAAGCAAAAGTATAATACATTTCAAAATTAACGTTTTAAATTACAGTCTAAAATGTAAGAGCTTATGGTCTAATAAGAGAATATATCTCTAGAACACATTGGTGAAAAGTAAACACTATTTTTCAAAAGCTTTATTTTAAAAGCATGGAAAATATCAAAACTGTTAAAATAAGAAGATACAAAATGTACAGCATTTCTTGGCCTTAGTCATATGTTAGATACCCAGAGAAAAGAGTTCTAAAAGCTCGCCCAGCCTGGCTAGTCAACATCTATGGAGGAAAATCCATGATAATGGTTGTTCTTTGATGTCTGTTGCCCCAAATGGCATGTGGTTGTGATGACATATTGAACGCTTTCCCTGTTCATTGTGTGTGTCCTATGTTCACACATTTGCAACTCTTAAAAGGTTTCTTTTTTCATTTTACCATCAACTCATTCTTACCTATTTACTCAGGTTTTCTGATAGTTAAGAAACTGCTTTATGTACTACCATAATGCAGTATCTTGTATACTTTGCTCATTTCATAATTAGTGAGTTAGGAATTAAATGTTCACAGACAATTTTATTATGAATATCCTTTCTAGCTTTTGATTTTCTTTTTGTTGTTATCACCACTCTAGAGTTTCATGGAATCTTAATAGTGGTGCCTCGACTTAGGAGCTTAATCCGTTCCAGAGGATGGTCGTAACTTGAAATGGTCATAAGTCAAAGCACCATTTCCCACAGGAATGCACTGAAATGCAATTAATCCATTTCCGCTGAAGAAAAAAAATCACAACCCCCCAACACACTGCAAGACCCATCGGAAATGCGATTAATCCGTTCCAGCTGAAGGGGTGGGGTGGGGAAAAGCAAAGCAAACAAAACATGCAAGGCCCTTTAGAAATGCAAAAACAGAAAAGCAAAAAGCAAGCAAATTATGCAAGGCCCATCAGAAATGCAAAAAAAAAGCAAGCAAGCAAATCCCGCAAGACTCATTGGAAATGAGGAAAAAACCCCATGTAGCAGGCCACTCTCAAGCCCTTACTCATCCAGGCCTATAAGAGTGCTCACTACCTTTCGCCAAAACTTGCTGCCACCAACCTATCCTTAAAATCAAAAGGACAAGTGTTTCTTTTCAAAACAAATAAAGTGTTTATTGATTACACAAAATAAAAGTAGTAAATCACATGTATCAAATCAAGTTGTCAATCACTGTTTATAAGACACTAGCTCGCACAGACTTTTCCCTCACTGACAGGCACTTTCTCACTCTATCAATCACTCTAATCACTCATCTCTCAAACTCTGATCTCCCAAAACTCCTCTCACACACCTTATATAACCCAGCTCCTCCCACTTCTGCACCACCCTCCGTCCTCTCATTGGCTGAGGTTCCCCTGCCCAGCTGTGACGGAAGGTGAGAGCAGAGCTGAATTCCACAATACCTCCCCCCTCAACAAGTTGTTTTATGGGGTAAAGCTAAAATGCTTTCCTCTATAAACAACGAGGAGCAATACAATAATACAATTAACCTAACAACAATAACAGACTTAATAAACATTTTCATAAACAATAAGTAAACATCTTACCTGCAACTCATTCCCACATATTCATTAACATTTTCCACGATCATTCATGCATACACTCAATATTAGAATACAACATGAAAATTATACTTACATTCAAATTCATCTGCATATACAACAAATCACATATATCAATGTGTACATGAACAACAAACTTTTAAATACTTTAACCATTTTAAAAGTCCCTTTTTCTTCTTCAGTCGTCTGGTCTTCTAGAGAGGGCATCTGCAGCACAGTTCTGAGTCCCTTTAATCACTTGAACCTCAGAGTCAAAGTCCTGCAGAAGCAAAGCCCACCTCATCA